AAAAAAAAAAGCAAAAAGAACAGTGTCTTCTGAAAAGTGTAGGGTAAGTACCTGCACTAGTCTAGGTCTTTCTACAGGATTATGTCATTTGTCATGGAGGTCAAGCTTCTTCTTCCCATCACTAGCTCTCTTAGCTGATTCTGGGTCTGACAAAAATAGTATGCAAAACAACAATGACATCAACAAAAGCCCCACCTGTGCAGACTGGGTACTGTGGGCCTTTTAGGCTGCTTTTTTACTCTACAAGTGATTCCAGACTGCAGCCAAGGTTGAGACCCATGCCCCGGATTTTCATAGCAGTGGCCTGACTCCCCCTGTTGGGTTTCATGTTTTTCATGAATTCAGCCAGCCTCCCTGGGAAGCTCCTAGGCCTGAGGGGGAAAGCTGCTGGTGAACTTGGAGTAAGAAGGTCTCCATGGAAGAAAGCCCAGGGGACTAGTCACCAGGGATTGGAGCACTAAAGTGAGAAAGCTGGTCCAAGTCTGAAACTATCCAGGTCCTGTCAGGCAAGCTTTGTTCCTTGCCAACCCCTAAATCCTGGGTCCTGGGAGGATTCTATAAAAACTTGTTCTTAATGCTGTATTGGCCTGAGGATATGCAGATCATAACATCTTTCTATAGTCATCCAGATCAATCCTGGAGGGGTGATATTACAAAAGGGACTGAGATGTCCTTGTTAAACAGAGAATAGAGACTGAAGTTTACAGAATCCAGTCTACATCATGTCTTTGGAGGCTGGGAACCTAACACTTAAAACAGAGACTGAGTGGTTCTCCTGGATCCTTTTCCCACTGTGCACATCTGGGTGTATCTGCTCTCCTCCTGGTTTAAACAATCTTTTTCTATTTATCAGAGGACCTTACACTTGGCTGTACTGTACCTCTTTAGAAAAGAGACACACAAGCTAGACTTGATGCACACCTGTAATGCCAGGGATTTAGGAGGTTAAGGCAGGAGGATTGCAAGTTTGAGGCAGCCTGAGCAACTTATCAAGACGCTGGTCTCAAAATAAAAAGTAAAAAGGACTGGGGATGTGACTCAGTGGTAGAGTGAGCCAGGTTCAATCCTAGTACCGCCAAACAAACAAAACAAACAGAATGCCTTGGTGAAATCATATTAACAATGACCATTTCTGAAGTGGAAGACACAGCAAAATGGTTTCTCAATTTCTATCCAATGTTTTTCAAAGTATTTGCTCACCATCTCTTAGACCCTTTTCAGAGTGATGATGCCCTCATCATAATGTGATGACAGTTCCTTGGGGAAACAAACGGAATGGGGGTGGGGAAGGGGGACGGACGACGTGTGGCTCCTCAGAGAGTAGCG